CTGAGCCACCAAGCCAGGGCCTGACCTACTGGCTTTAGATGGGAGGTCCCACACCCCCTCCTTGGGTTTAATGTATCTGCTAGAGCGGCTCCCAGACCTGGGAGAGGCGTTTTACTACCGTAAGAGGATATAGCTCAGAAACAGCCAGATGGAAGAGATGCACAGGGCAAGGTGTGGGAAGGGCCAGAGCTTCCCTGCTCTCCAAAACCTGTCCTTGTGGGTTTTGCTGGAGGTTCCATGACATAGGCATGATTGATTAAATCACTGGTCACTGGTAATCAATTCAGCCTCCAGGCCCTCTCCCTCAGGAGGTCAGGAGGTGGGACTGAAAGTTCTAGCTCTCTGATCACAAGGGTGGTTCCCCTGGCAACTAGTCCCCATCCTTAGGTGCTTTCTAAATAAAAGTCACCTCATGGGCATAACAAAAGACACCTTTATGGGCTCTTATCACTTAAAACATTCTAAGGGTTTAGGAGCTCTGCCTGGAACTGGGATGAAGACTATATATGTCTTATTACAAATCACAACATCACAGTTGACTAAGGTTCTTCTGGAGTAAATAAGCCTCGCTAGCTTAAGCAACAAAGACAGTTTATTGGAAGGATCCTGGGGTACATCATGGAATTCCAGCCTTGGTGGACCGTGGAGACCCACAGCATCGCTGCTCTTTGCTGGGCACAGGAGTTTTCCTTCCCAGATGACATGATGGAAATAGGCCTGCCATACAGCTTCAAGTGCGTGTCACCGGTCCAGCCATTGTGAAGGAGGAGGTTCTCTCTCCTTCCAATTGGAGACTCCTGGGAAGGAACCAATCATCCAGTTTGGATCTCGTGTTTACTCCCAGACCAGTCTGCTGTGGCCAGGGAATGATATCACATGTGCAAGCCTGACCACCCCGTTATAACCTGCACTGGGGGGTGAACAGGCCCCAAGAGAGGGTTGGCTAAGCAGACAGTCAGTAGAGTCCATCCAGATAAGCATATAAGCAAGGACAAAATAGTCTGTAGAAAAGGCTAAGGCTCAGAATGGTTGGCTTAACGAAAAACGCCAACAGTGATGATGGCATCAACCTAGAATCAAACCACAAGAATAAAGAAAGATAAGAGCCATTGCTGGAGAAAGACTGAAGTGTCAACAGATGTCCAAAAGAAAGTAGACAAGAATTACAAATTCACATTCGGAGATGTCCTCACAGTGGAAAGGACAAGAGAGACAAACCTAAGCTGACACCCAGTGTCTTCTCTCTCACCTTAATAAATCAACTTTCAGAGCACCTGCAGAACGGAGAGGCGCTGTAGCTGGAGTTGATTTGAATTCCATGCACTTGTACATCATTATGTGGCCTCAAAAATCTAAAGTCAGTACTTGAGCCCTGGCTGGTTTCACTCAGTGGTTGGAATGTCACCCCATGCACCAAAGAGTCTCAGGTTCGATTCCCAGTCAGGGGCACGTCCCTGGGTTGCAGGTTCGATCCCTGGCCCCAGCCAGGGTGTGCCGTGTGGGAGGCAACCAGTTGATGTGTCTCACACCAATGTTTCTCTCCGCCCCCACTTCCCTCTCTTCCATCCTTTCTAAAAGACGATGGAAAAAAAAAAAAAACATCCTTGGGTGAGAATTAACAAAAAATAAAATAAAATCAGTTCTTGGGTTCAAAGGCTCACTTGTTCATGAACTGACTTCGCAGCAGGTATGAGAAAAAAGAGCTGTGGGTTATATTGTCCATAAACTTAGTGCGTTTTCCAGTGATATGGCTGCCAGAGAACAGCACACACATACTCTTTAAAAAGTTACATGTGTGACCCTGGCCGGTTTTGCTCAGCGGTTAGAGCATTGGCCTGCGGTCCAGAGAGACCCGGGTTCAGTTCCCGCTAAGGGCACATACCTCGGTTGCAGTTTGTCCCCGGCCCTGGTTGGGGTTGTGCGGGTGGCAGCCACTCGATGTGTCCCTTTCACATTGATGTTTCCCTCTCTCTCTCTTCCTCTCTCCCTCCCACTCTGTCTGAATAAAAAATGGAAAAATGTCCTCAGGTGAGGATAAAAAAAAAAAAAATTAAGAAGTTACATGTGTGTATAAATTACATATGTATATAAATTACATATGTATATGTACACAAACAATTTCTACATTTAGAAGAGGTTGTGAGAGTGTGTGTGTGTGTGTGTGTGTACACACATATGAATAAAATTTGGGAAGTATAGAAAAGCACAAAGAATAAAGTGGCCGTGGATAGTTAGACTCAGTGGTTAAGAGTGTTGGCCCATGGACCAAAGGGTCTCGGGTTGGGGTCCTACGGGAGGAGGACCAATATGTTTCTCTCGCATCAATGTTTCTCTTTCTCTCTCTCCCACCCTCTCCCTCACCTCCTCTCTCCACCTCTCTCCCTCCCTCTTTTCTACTCTTTTAAAAATCAGTGGAAAAACATCCTGGGTGAGGATTAACCAAAAAAGGAAGTAAAGTGTGGCCATAATTACTTGAGGCAGCACTAAGTTCCTGAGCGTCTTGGTGAATCCCCCCAGGCTCTTCGTCTCTGCTCCAGTGCAGAGGTCTTGCGGCTCCGTGCAGCATTCCTTCCTCTCCTGTAACCTAGGCCAGTGCTCCCCGCAGTCTGGTCCGTGGCCGGCAGCCTCACTGCCCCTGAAGCTGAATCAGATCTTGGGAGGGGACCAGGCACTGTTTGCTCAGCCCTCTGGGTGATTCAGATGCACAGGAAACTTTCAAAAGCTGAGGTACACCTGTGCTCCTCCAAATGTCTGTGAGCTGTAACTGGGCTGCAACGAGATAATACAAAAATCAAGTAAACACGTAGAAACATTTATGTTAATGTGACATGCAAGCACGGTCTCCTTTTTTAAAAAATAGCTTAATTGTATTTTACAAAATCACTCCACAGTAGACTCCTTTAAAAAAGGAAAAAGGGAAATTTATGGACGTTGGTGCCTATGGCGAGAGATGAAAGAAGCGAATGAGACTGACTTTTCCTCATTTAGAAATAATAGACAGACACACTAGTGAAACAAAACAGGTCTTAGAGCACCGATGGTTTGAGAGGCACTGGTCACACCACCTGTCTCTCCTGAGACACATGGCTTGTCCCCAAGGGGAACCTGCCGCCACGTCAGCCACTGCAAGGTCTAACCCAGAGCCTGCTTGTTTTGCTGCAGCGAGAGACCTCGAGTTTGGTGTGGAGGGAGGAGTAGGAGCCGGACTTTAGTCTTGAGGAACAAAGGGGCCACTGTAGGTTGAGTGGTTGGTTTGTGTCACTGTTGGCTTTTTAACGCTGGGGAATGGCACCGTCAGATCTGCGTTCTGAAGGGGTGGGCGAGACTGCGGCGGAAGATGCGCTGGGAGGCAGCTGCCCCGTCTGGTCCGGTGACGAGCTCAGGGTGGTGGCGGTGGAGATGAGGGAAAGGGAACGTCGGGATTTGTCTTTTGTCTTCACTCTTGTGGAAAGTGAAGTGTAGATGCATGTGTCAGAAGGTGAGGGAGAGAATTACCTCATTCCAAGGTTTGCCTTTATTTCTTGTATCTCTTGATACTCATGGTTTTCAAGATAATCAAGTTTCTGTGCTAGTTATTCACAAAGGCAGGTCAGTGGTGCACAGCTCGCATTTGCTCTGATTTCTCAGTCTGCTCGGGTAGCTCTGCGTTTTGTTTTGTTTTTTACTTTACCCGAAGGCCTGGAGAGCAGAGCCCCATCTTACTTTACTGTAGAAAATCTGGCTTTTGGCTCTTTTCATCCTGGACCCTAGAACCTGAGAACACAGTTTTAATATATTTCCACAATAAAAAAAATCAATCTATTTAATAGGCTTTATTACAAATAGGGTTTTCCCATAAATACACAGGTATAAAACTTATCAATTAAAATTTTAATATTATTTATTATAGATGTAATGGTCCTGCTCGTTTGTGGTAAAGTCAATTTGTATGTAGTGAGGAGACTACTCAGTGCCTAGCATGGTTTATGCAGCAATTTCCAGACTTTGTTCTTAACTGACAAGTAATATTTGTTATAAAACTGGGGAGTCTAACCTAGGGTTGTCTCTTTGATTCTAAAACCAAATTAAGAATGTTTATATTTACTATCACTATAAATTCAAAAATCTTAGAAACAACACCAAAGGATGAGAATTAGCCAAGAAAAGATTCTATGTTTTCTCCATTCGTTTTTATTTACACATAATAAAACCCATACCTAGTAAGTGAGGGGAAAAAAAACAGGAAGAACAGCGTCTTAGAAGACAGAACCATGATTAAACCCAATAGATTTAGTTTTAGAAAAGTTCACGCTCCATTTTTCTCTCTTTACCGTGGATTGGGGAAAACGTCCTCAGGCTGGTCAGCAGACACAATTTGGGGGCCTCCACTCGAGTGGCTGAGCAAGAGAAACTTTACTCAGAACAGTGGAGGGGAGGAAACATTTCCCTGTACTCTTCATGTTCTTGTCTGACACCCCCGGATATCACTGCACATTAACAGGGGGAAAAACATGTAATTACCTATTTCCCATGGAGTCCCACAAGGTGAGACTCAGAAGGAAGTCTGTCGACTGAGGCTAACAAACCCTCCTGAGTAGAGGGCAGGGCCAGGGGCCTGGGCTGCAGGGGAGGGCAGTGCATGGGAGGGCAGCGAGAAGAGGGCATCTTTGGTAAGCCGGGGCTTCCCTGCCAAGTAGGTAGGTCTCTCCCTTCTGCGGGAGCCTTTCTAGTCTCCCTTGCCACACGGTCAAGAATGCTGGTTTTCAGAGCTCCCCCTGTGTCTGCAGTTTCTCAAAACAATAAATATGCCAAAGAGGCATATTTTGGGGTGGCAAATTCTGCTGCCCTCTGACCCAGAAAATGTAGAGCTACTGGCCCTGAGGAGCCCTTGCTGGGGAGTGAAAGGTGAGGTCCCCAGCTGGGGCACGGCAGCTGTGGGGGGAGGGGGAGAACCATTCCTGTGTATTCATTTATTCATTCATTACCTCTTACCAATTTACTTCTTTTTTTAACCCGTTCAGCCTATCAGCTCATCACCGTGGTGATTGCAGCAGCAGGAGGCGGGCTTCTGCTAATACTAGGCATTGCACTGATTGTCACCTGCTGCCGGTGAGTGACATTCTAGTTCTGTTCTTCGCATGCGCTATGCAAGGGCCAGTTTTCACTCTTAAGGACTGTTTGGAGCGGTTTACATTAAATCATGATGTATGACTGAACCATTAACAAAAGGAGAAAGGAAAATTCATGATAGATCATGCCATTGGAGGAAAGAAAAGGACAGCAAATAGAATTTTATTTTCTTTACTAAAAAGGAATACACAGAAGCATAAGCTACAAAAAAAGATAGATGACTGGACTACATAAAAATTAAAAATTTCTCTGCTATGTAGGGAAGAAAAATTTTTCTTCTAACCTTCTAGGTTCTTTGACTGGTCTAATAATCAAATTAACATATGACAGATTAATGGGAGAAAAACATTTAATTACGTATGTAGGGGTGTGGGTGGTGACACATAAGAATACAAGACCCACAGACAGGCAATTGAGGTTTTTGCACCATCCTGAGCTAAGAGAAAGGGGCAGGGGTCTGGGACTTCAAAGGGGAGGAAGGCTATTTACAGGCTGATGGGAAGAGCAAATGTTTCCTAAACCAATGTGTGCCTGCCGTACCATGCAGGGGCGTGGTACCATGCAGGGGCGTGGTACCATGCAGGGGCGTGCAACACCCAGCGGACTCCGAACAAAGAGACCCTGCTGAGCTCCCCTCTCCTAGCCCATGCTCCTTGTAGTTAGCTCCGGTGATTGGTGATCGGTGGGCGATCCGTGATCACTCTCCTTCTGGAACAAGCCCTTTATCTAAATTCTTTTAGGCAGTTAAAGGGAGGCATAAAAGCTCTTCCTGAACTGAGAGCTCCCAGTTTGATTCCCGGTCAGGGCACATGCCCAGGTTGTGGGCTCGATCCCCAGTAGGAGGTGTGTAGGAGGCAGCTGATCCATGTTTCTCTCTCACATCGATGTTTCTCTCTCCCCTTTCCTGTTTTAAGAAAATACACTCATTGCTGATGTGAGTGTAAAGTGAAAAACCTTTAAAAAAAAAAGCTCTTCCTGAGTCTTTTGGATCTTTGATTGTCTTCAGCTCAAAATCTTCTGAGTACCAAAGTGGCCCATTCTGGGGAGACTTGTTCTGAACCCCTTCAGTTTCAAAGATTAGTAGCAAGAAAGTAAAAAGACAACCCACAGAATGGGAGAAAGTATTTGCAAATAAATCATATGTCTAATAAAGGACCTGTTTCTAGAATATATCAAGAATTCTTACAACTCAATAATGAAGAGACAACCCAGTTTAAAAATGGGCAAAGGCATGGCCGGTGTGGCTCAGTGGATTGAGCATCATCCATGGAGAGGGCACATGCCCAGGGTTGCAGGCTTGATCCCCAGTAGGGGGCATACAGGAGATGTTTCTCTCTCACATCAATGTTTCTGTCTCTCTCTCCCTTCCTCTCTCTCTAAAAAATCTATAAAAACATATTTTTAACAAAATAGGCAAAGAACTTGAGAAGACATTTCTCCAAAGAAGGTGTCCAGCAGGCACATGAAAGATGCTCAGCATCATGGCCATCAGGGAAATGCGATCAAAACCACCATGGGATGCCCTGGCCGGTTTGGCCTGTGGACCAAAGGGTTCTGGGTTTGATTACCAGTCAAGGGCATGTACCTGGGTTACAGGTTCGATCCCCAGCCCTAGTTGGGGTCATGAGGGAGGCAACCAATAAATGTATTTCTCTCTCAGCAGATGTTTCTCTATCCCCCTTCCTCCCTTCCACTTTCTCTAAAAATTAATGGAAAATATCCTTGGATGAGGATTAACAAGAACAAAAACAGCCCTGGCCGGTTTGGCTCAGCGGTTAGAGCGTCGGCCTGCGGTCCAGAGAGACCCGGGTTCGGTTCCCGCTAAGGGCATGTACCTCGGTTGCAGTTTGTCCCCAGCCCTGGTTGGTCGTGCGGGTGGCAGCCACTCAATGTGTCCCTTTCACGTCGATGTTTCTCTCTTTCTCTCTCTTCCTCTCTCCCTCCCACTCTACCTGAACAAAAAATGGAGAAAATGTCCTTGGGTGAGGATAAAAAAAAACAAGAACAAAAACAAAAACAGAAAAAGACCTACCATGAGATACTACCTTATGCCCACTAGGATGGTTAATTTTTTTTAAAAAGCCCTGGCAGGGTAGCTCAGTTGGTTAGAGCATCGCCAAGGTTTCAGGTCCCCAGTCAGGACACACGTAAGAGTCAACCAATGAATGTACAAGTAAGTGGAACAACAAATTGGTGCCCCTCCCCACCCCCACTCCCTCTCTCTCTATAAAATAAATAAATAAATAGCTCAGCCAGTGTAACTCAGTGGTTGAGCATTGACCCATGCACCAAGAGGTCGCCAATTCGATTCCCAGTCAGGGCACATCCCCAGGTTATGGGCCAAAGCCCCAGTGGGGGGCATGCAGGAGGCCAGTTGATATTCTCTCCCACTGATGTTTCTATGGCTCTCTCCCTCTCCCTTCTTCTCTCAAAATCAATTTTTAAAAATTGTATTACAAAATAATAAATAAATCAATAAAAATTTTAAAGCCAGGAAATTACAAGTGTTGGTATGAGGACATGGAAAAATTAGAACACTAACACACTGCTGTGGAAATGTAAAATGATGCAGGCACTTTGAAAGTATCTAGCAGTTCCTCAGAAAGTTAAACATAGAATTGCCATTTGACCTGGTACTTTAGGTGTATTCCAAGAGAAATGAAAACTTATGTCCACAACTATGTGTTTTCCAATGGTCTTAGGCGACCCTTGTGAAAGGGTCATTCGACCCCCAAAGGGGTCACAACCCACAGGTTGAGAACCGCTGGTTTAGAACGATAATAAATGGCAGAAATTATCCTGACATAACAGGTAGAGGAAACTTACCAAAATAGCAAGTTCTCTTTGCAGCCACTGACATGAGGACTTTTTAAGATGCCCTCTGTCTCCAGTAAGGCTGCAGAGAGCAAGTTGCCCAAACTGCTCATTCGGGAATGCAGGCCTTATGCTACAGCCTTGGCCTGTCATTGACAAGTTGCCACCAAATGATCAAAGATAAAGTATGAGTGAAATACAATTCTGGGGCTGAGACTGAAGCTGGAGAGAGAAAACCTGAGTGCTAAGTGCCCTGTTCCAGGTAGTGTAGCCATTTGGGGAAGGAGCCTATGACTGCTGGTCGCGGGACAGGGGGACCAGGTGAGAATAAGTAAGTCATTGTTCTAGACCAGATGTCCCACCCCCAAGGGACAACACCTCAGCCACATACTGGGCGTTCTTTTTTTTTTATCCTTACCCGAGGACATTTTTGCATTCATCTTCAGATAGAGCAGGAGGGAGTGAGGGAGGAAGAGAGAGAGAAACATCAATGAGAGAGAGACACACCGAGGGGTTGCCACCCACACGACCAGGGCCGGGGACAAACTGCAACCAAGGTACTGAACCTGGGACTCTCCGGTCCGTGGGCCGATGCTCTAACTACTGAGCCAAACCGGCCAGGGCTGGGCGTTCGGTTTTATGACCTTGAATTATTGCGTGCTTTCTCCAGAAAGTTGACTGATAGGACAATGAGGGTGAAGGAAGAAACTGCAGATTATCTAACCCGGGGCAAATAAGAGTAAAAATGGCGATTAGAAAGGTGAATAACAGAGTCCAGCAATTTCCAGTGAGATGGAAGGCCCTTGTTCAGTCCCAGCTCTGCTACTAGCAAGATGTGGCCCGGGACCAAGGCAGGTCTCTCCGCCAAGCCAGGTGCTCCATCCCCAGCTCCTGTCCTAGTAAGTCTGTGTGAGACCTAGAGGCTCCCACGCACATTCTGACGCTCGTGCTGGCTGGGAACCCATGGACTAAAGGCCTTTCCTCTCTGACTGTTGGTTCCCCAGCTGCCCCTAAGATGTCCCAGGAAAGTCTGTCAGCCCCATGGCAGCTCTCTGAGAGGTGTGCCATGGTAACCGGGCCTCTTAGGTTGGAAGACTTTTTGCATCCTTTCTTGCACCTAATTGCATTTTTACTTGTTTGGGCAAATACTAAAGATAATAACAATAATAACATTCCTCAGTGGGCAGCTACAAGGAAATATCGTGGTAGCTTTAGGTCTAATTGATCTTAAAAAATACTAGAGGACACTTCACAAATACCTTTTTTATTTTTTACAAAACTCATTCATTTAAATTTTCAAATATTTTTTTACCCCCCAGAAAGAACAAAAATGACATAAGCAAACTCATCTTCAAAAGTGGAGATTTCCAAATGTCCCCATATGCTGAGTACCCCAAGAACCCTCGATCACAAGAATGGGGCAGAGAAGCCATTGAGATGCATGAGAACGGAAGTACCAAAAACCTCCTCCAGATGTCCGACGTATATTACTCGGTGTGTATTCCCGGCTCTGGGGTGGCCTCAGGCTCGTTTCCTGGAGAATTAAAGGGGTTCTGTTTTGTGTAGTAAAAGCACTGCATCTATGGTTCAAGGGAACCATGGCTAAGCCTCTTAGTGACATAATCTAATATCAATTCATTTATGATCTATTTGCATGTTACCTATTGGTTTGACGTTGAGATTTGGAGGCTCTTCCCACAGAACACATTACTTTTATGGGATTGTAGCAGTAACCCTCTTGTTGACCTTGCCTTTAAGTGACAGGATTGGATACCGAAAGATAAAGCATTTGGTGATACTTAGCCTTTGGCCCTTTTATTTGTATCTCTTGTCTGCCACACTTTACCTATGCAGTTGGGTAATCGAAACTGAGGGTTTGGAGGAAGGTATAAAGAGAACAATTCATCATCCTCCACCAGCACTTCTCAGAGATTTGGAAGATTATATATGTAGTAGGTTAATAATTTGTTCTGCCCAGCCCTGGACAACGTCAGTTGGAAAGATGGGAGGCTCCCTTCAGCCCTTGATCCTTGTGTCCCACAGTGAGTAATCCATGTCATGTTCCCATGCACTGCTCAGTTCATTTCACATTACACTGTCAGCCATAAAGCAAACACTGAGGGCTGAAAAATAAATAGCTGTCAGGTGACTTCTCATGCCACGCAGGCAGTAAACATCAGCAGTAAGCATGAAACTTTGCCCTGCAGGGACTTAATAGCTCTAGACAATCCTGTGACAGAAACCACAACCCCTCTGGTTGCTATGGGGGTGGGGGGGGTCAGACTTCGGATGGGAAGGGCGAGTTTGTTCATGCTAAGAAAGCTGTTGTTTCCATGGACTGAAAAATTCAAACCTGGAGGAAGAACAGGAAGACACAAGGGAAAGATGAACATAGACACAAACTTAGCCCCAGTTCGAATGGTTCTGTGGATATTTCTGCGTAAGGGGTTTGTTTTGTTCTCTGTTCGTCAGAGAAGTCCTTTTGCACAAAAGCTGCAGCCATAACTAAGCAGGTGTCTTACCCAGGAGTGGCCGCACACTCAGCCTTTGCTAGGGTCTCAGCCCCAGCGGGGTATGACAGCATGGCCCCAACCAGGCCTGCAGAGTCTGGGACCCAGCTGTGTTTCCATGGCATCAGCTAGAGAGTTGCCTTAAATAGGTACAGTCAAGAACTTAAAGGAACCCCATCTTCGTTTCTGAAATAGGCTGAGTGCTCTGTGCAAGCAGAGTCTAAGCTGTGGCGTGAAGCTGTCACCTGTGAGAGCACTGTCACTCACAGTGGCACCAGGTGTGCATGGGCTTTCCTAGGACTTGCATTTGTTATATACAGCATGTAGTTTTATTTCTGCCAGGCAAGCGTTTTCCCTGGTGGTCCCGAATGGGGGCCTGAGCTGCTTCTGCACATCACATAGGTAGTCACAACCCGCTAGGCCAGGACCTGGTCAGAGATTCCCAAGAATCACTGTGGGCCTCCTGCTTTGGGGCCCTAGCTCCCTCTGACGGGGTCATATGACCCTTCACACAGTCGAGTTCAGCTATATGCCAGAGAGGATTTAAAGCTGTGTGCTTGCCCTGGCCGGTTTGGCTCAGTGATGGAGCACTGGCCCATGGACCAATGAGTCCTTGATAATAATTAACTCAGGTCTCTTGATCTAAACTCTCTGGACTGTCCTTGATTCAAGTTTTTTCCAGGAAGGACAGCCCTGGGGAGGGTCCTGACTTCTAGGTCAGACCTTGCTCTGCTGTGTTTAGCTGCCTCCATCAAAGTGTTATTCAGTTGAGACATTCTTTTTTAAAAAACGATTAAATTTAAGCCATGAATAATAAATTGACTTTTTTCCCCTTTTCTCTTTGGCCACCAGCCCACAAGTGTAAGGAATCCCGAACTTGAACGGAACGGACTGTACCCGGCCTACACCGGATTGCCGGGATCTCGGCATTCTTGCATTTTCCCGGGGCAGTATAACCCATCGTTCATCAGCGATGAGAGCAGGAGAAGAGACTACTTTTAAGTGAGAAGAGAGAGGAGCCCATTGCTCTGAGCCAGTGGCCTGGGACCGCGACTGCTCAGAGGACTGCCGGGGGCGCCCCGCTGGCGGGCTGCTCCCAGGACTTGGGGAGCCACACTGGAGTGGCAGGAAGAAAGTGGGACAGGTGTGAGGGGCATGGCCACAGTGGAAGGGGACAGACGGAAGCTGCGGACGGGACACTGCAGGCTGCTCCCTTGTTACTGTGAATGTGACCGTGGGCCTGTGCCGGGAGGTCCCGGGGACGGCAGCGTGGCCACGGGCTCCGGGATGACGGCGGCGAGGGCAGCTCTTCCTTAGTTTGCACTTTACTAAGTTGGGTAGGGGCGTCTCCTCTTGGATTTTTTTTAAGACTGTTCCAGAAAGAAGGCCTCATTTCCCCAGACACTTCCATAGGCCTCGATCTGGTGATTAATTTATAGCAAAATGCCGGCTGTTTATTTGTTTTCCTGCCCAGCACCGTGTGCTGGACAGCAGGTGACGGCAATGAACATACCACTAAGGTCTGGAGAGGCTGTAGGTTATCATCCAATATTTTAATATGTTTCTAGGTCTTTTTGTGCTACGGTCTCCAAGCCAACCCCCAAAATGAGAAATGGACATTTGTGAGGCATGGCATACAACTCCAGTTTGGTTCTATTAGTCAAGGTGACACCTGGATTTAAGATGACTTCTTCCCTTTGCGGTGAAATCTCAGCTTTTCAAATAAGTCTGGATCAGGGCAAAATGATTTCCACTTGATTGTAGTTAGAGACATCCAGCTGCCCTGTGGTGAGGCAAGAAGCAGGGGGCCCTGGGGCTGAGCCAAGGCCCCTGAGGAAGACTCAGAGGTGCAGGCGGTGGGGCGCTTTCACCCCTGAGGACAGGGCGTGGGGCCCGGGTCTCTGACCGCCATCTCTGAGGCCAGGCTGCTCCGTGGGGGTGGGGATGCTGAGCTGAGCGCAGGCTGGGTCTGCGCTGGTTTCACCACTAAGGAAAGAGCAGCTCGCGGAGTCCCTGCGCTGAGTGTGGTTAGAGGAAGGGGCTGCACAGACAGGTCCACTGCCGGAAACACCAGCTCTTTGGGAAGCTGGGCAGGTCCTGAGGAAGGATGGGGTGCTGGGACGGAGCCACGCATAGGTCTGCTCACCTGAAGCTGCACGCTGTACCTTTGATTGTATCCCCGATCTCGTCATCTCGTCCACAAACTTCGTGTAAACGGTCCACCAACTGCTCAGCTATTTATTCACTGAAGAAGTAACTTATTTTCACTCATCCAGTGACTCGTACCTCCTTGTACTACTACATAGCTCCCTCCAGAAACATGGTTCTAATTCAAGTCAGCATTGGAGAACTAAAGACTCTGGACAGGTAGGGAAGTGCGAGTTTGCCTTCAGGAAGGAAATTCTGCGTGTTTGTTGATTGTGCCGGTGCCGTGGGGCCGGCGCAGGGGCATATCCTGTGCGCAGTGTCTGTCACTGCTCCTTACGGAGCTGATTATTCTCGTCACCTGCCTTTGAAGCATCCTCGTGGATGGAGAGAACACAGAGGTAGAAGAACTGTTCCCACTCTGAAGCTCGGAGCTCAGCGGAACCTGTGTTTTGGAGATGGGGTAGACTTTGGGGACAGTTCTGTCCTAGGTATGGCTGTTTCTTCCAGGCTCTCTAACCTTTTGGGGATGTATCTAATCCTTATTCTTAGGGAGTCCTCGTCCTGACAGTTTTCAGTGTGAACTCGTGTGTCCCGTGGTCTCCACGATCACCATCCCCCACGGCAGCAGGAGCACCAGACAGGCGAGGCCTCGCAGTAGTCAGACTGCACTCGTCTCCTCAGAGAAGAATCCTGGTCTGGTCCGTGGGTGCCAGCTTACAATTTCAGAGCGTCACCTTTTAGGAATCTTGGGTCCATAGAACCCAAGAGCCCTCGGCCACATGGCCTCGCATCCAGCTGGAGCGCTCTGAGCCCCGCACTCAGCCCACCCGAGCCGAGAGGTGGCCTGGCTTCCTGGTCTGCACAGACCCCAGGACCCAGAGCCACGTGGGGGCCGTCGTCAGGCATGCACAGCTGCCCCCTTTAGCTGCCACCACAGCTGACAAGTCCTCTGTATCTGGGCCAGAAGCTGTGAGCTCCACAAAATGAAGCCTCTGTCTCCAAAGCATTCTTGAGAAGAATCCAAAAGGAATGTCCTGTGAGCTCCAAGAATACTTTCCCTGTGAATGGGTTTTGTGCATATGAAGTGGATTAAGAATGTTGTTTTTCTTTCACTGTGAAAAAAGCAGGCCCCCCTGCAGGGTTGAGTTCACACAGAATCTGCAATTGCTAAGGGGGCAGGTGGGGGTGGGGAAGGTGCGTCTGCAGACCTGAGGGGCTAAGAAGGTGCACAGACAGCATGACTATTAGCCGGTGCCAACTGCCCGCCCTGGGTGAAGAAGGGAGAGGCTGGCTTCACTCCTGCTTGGGGCTGGTACCCCCAGACGTGTCCTGTCTGCCAAGGGGCAATACCTCGTAGGGCAGCAGCCGCCTCAACTGAAGGGCCAGGACTGGATGTCCCCCTGGCAAACAAGCTCTCAGCTCTGGCACAGGTGCTCAGTGTCAGCTCCGCACCTGGAATTCATGGGCGTGACACGGTGTTGTGTCCCTGGGTGCGGCCCACAGCTGGGGGAAGGTGGGAGGGAGGGAAAAGTGATCTTAACTGCCCTCAAGACTCCTCACCTTCTGTAGGGAAGAGTGGGCCGAATGGAACGCACCTGTCCCATACCTGAGCAAGGTGACTCAGAGGGCGGTGCTCACCTGCTGGCCTCCTAGCATCTGTGGGCTTTGTTTAAGCTCTTGAATAAAAGATCTTATTTCCTCTTTGCCCCAGGAGCCAGCCCAGGGCTCTAGAGATGAAATAGAAAGTCTAAATAGTCACAGAGCCTCTTGGTGTCCCCACCGTGGCCAGGCTCTGCGCACGGTGCTTGGCTTCACGACACCTGTGTGAGGTGCGTAGGAGTGCCCCTGTCCTGGATGGGGAAACTTCTGAGAGGGTGATTGCCTTGGAGAGCGGAGGCCACGCCCCTTCGCCTGGCTTGCCCTCCTCCCTGTGGGTCCCAGCCTCACCAGCCAGTGCACCTTAACTGTCAAAGGACATGAGAGAGTGGGCTTAAAGTGTGTCGGGTTTTTTTTTTTTTAGTTTTTTTTTTTGAGAACCTTAATGTTACTAAGCAGTAACTAAACTAATGACATGAAGTGCAAAAAAAAAAAGTTGAATCCCCTTTTGAAAAAGTCCTTTTGGGTTTGTTATTACATGTATTTCTTGGACACTGGTGGTCATCATTAAGAAAACAGTGGCTATGGCTGGCTCGTGCTCAGCAAGAAGCATGATGGTACGTGGCTTAGGGTGTCGGAGGTGTAAGGTGATGGATGACTCGGGTTTTTGACACACAGCCAGACTTAGACGTCCATCTGAGGGCTGCTCTGCCTTGTTCCTGTGGTCAGGCCATGGCTCCTGGAAGTATATTTTTGTGACTATTATCTGAGGTGGGAACATATTCAATTGAAGGTCTTACATGCTGACAAATCCTCCTTTGATGAAAGTTTATTTGCAGAAGTAGCGAGCCACTTAGAGCCCCAGTTGCTGAGTGGATCACATCATCAAGTGGCTGATAGGGCTGGAGTCGAAACTAAGATGTGATGGCTAAGTTCCTGAAGAGGTGACTGAACTGGCCAAAGAGGGCAGCATCTTTTCAAGGCTGGTTGGCTGCCCAGAAAAGGTGTTTGAAGGATGATATTCATTCCGATGTGAAAGGTCCTGGAGCCCACAGGGGAGGGTCTAGCATGTGGCTTTTGGGGCCTCTGTGAAGCCATCTTGCCCACTGGGAAGGGCCTGAGTGCCCTGTAGCTCTGGGAGCTGCGCCTGGAGAGGCTCGAGTTGTACAGCCGTTGCTCCAGGTTTAGTCCTAGTCTAACACAGCTTGGGTTTGGCCCATCGTTCTGAGATCCTTACACTGATTTCAGAACTAAAGCAATTCTTCAGAAAGAGGAAGAATTTCAGTATTTTGCATCTTATGTAAAACTACTCTTACTAGCAGAGATATTTTGTACCACGTGAAGACATTTGTGGGGACTAGAAGGGACATTTTATTTTACTCTGGGGTCCTTGTCTATGTGTTTGAGAAAAGATGCCTGGTTTTGTAGAGTTGGCTTTTGAGTATAGGTTGCATTCTTTTTTCTCTAATCCCCAGAGAAGAAAACTGGTTAAAATACTGAGAACATTAAAATATTCAATGTCAGTTCATTTGTTGTGCTAAAATACCTTTTTAGTAGTGTTATAATCATCCTGTTTGGTGTAAACTCACAGAAAAACCTTTGAAGCCAAAGGGGACAGTTTGGGTCTGAAAAGAGGCAGGTCTCAGACTGGCTCTGTCCCCTTGGCATTTTTTAAGAGGACACATTAGATCTGGTTTTTATCATTTTTCAGACACACATAATGCACTTCAGATGCAGAGTTATTGGGTAGGAAGGATGGGACCACACAGGGATGGAATGGAACCGGCCCCCCTGGGAAACTACCTGACTCACTTCCTCTATTACCTTGGCCTGTTTCTTTACAAAAAAAGGTCTTTCAACATGGGCTGTGCGTTCTCTCGATGTCATTGTTGCTGGGTTTATGGTTAACTGAAGCATGTAGCTGGAATATGAGCTTTTTGAGTTTTCACATCCTGGATTCCTCTTTGCAAATCTTTACACCTTAGCCCCCGACTGATTTGTTAAATCCATTATGAGAATGATATTTAAAGTTGTATTATAATTGCAACCTCCACTAATTATTCAGTACTGTAGCAGCAAAGTATTATTTGTAAGAATTCGGTTATTTTTATACTTATACCCACTATAAGTCTGGCGTTCTAGTCAGTAAAATGATGCAATAAAATAAATACCATTTTCATTGTGTGTTTTTCTTGTAAGAACAAGCAAACCAGGCAGTAGAGCAAATTGTCTTCCTGAGGGCATCACATAAACTATGGTGCTCTTCACGGTGAGCCCTTACACAGTGAACTTTGTTTATTAAAAATGTTTAATGTTGGCATTATTGTAGGCGTCCCCTTTTCCCCCGCCTTTGCCCACCTCCTCCCACCCCTGCGTCCCCCACGGTGAACTCTCACATGGCAAGTGTAGGGACTTGGATCTTCGGTGCCCACCACCCTTAGGAGACATACTTCTGATGGTGGATGCTGGGCAGACAGATTGGCCTAAAGGATAAAAAAGCCTGATTCAGGTATAACACCTGCCCTTGTTTACTTTTCTTTCTATGGCTCAAGAGCATAACTAACCCGTTCAGACACTGAGAGTCTGCCCCTCGCCATTTCTTTACGTCTCCGTACTCTGTGTGAGGAGACTGGGCCTTGAAGACGGTGGGCCATGGCCCTACCCTACAGTGGCCGATGAGTATGGCTGGCTGCCTAGATACATGCTAATCATTTGCTTCTCGGGTGGCAGGGGTGGACGAACCCCTCTGACTCTGTCAGCTCTATGACAGGAACCTTGGCACTCGGAGAGGCCATTGGGGCAGCTGGGGACATAACGGGGACCTGTGGCAAGTTAGCTCAGGATTATGGCTTCTCAGACACCCTTGACTGGAGATGACCAGCAGCGCTCTCCTCTTCTGACCCGGCCCTGCACACAGCTTTCCAGCCCATGTTAATCCCCAACTGAGATCTTTTTTTAATTTTTATTTGTTGGCTAATCCTCACCAGAGATATTTTCCCATTGATTTTTAGATGAAATGGGAGGGAGGGAGAGAGAGAAAGAAGCATTGACGTGAGAGACACATGGCTTGGTTGTCTCCCGCATGACCCTGACCAGGTCTGGGGAGCAAACCTGCAATCAAGGCCCTTGACCAGAATCAAACCTGAGATCCTTCAGTCCGAGAGCCGATGCTCTAACCGAGCCAACTGAAATCCTAGCGGAAAGCCTGTACTGACCCCTTTATTGTCCTGCGCAGCTCAGCCAGACATCACAGACATCACAGATGCCAGGAATAGAGATATTTATGTTGCTTTTCATTGACATCATTAAACCTTGACAATCAGAAGGCCTGGCCTCTGACAGCTGGCACAACACACTCCTAACAATTTCATGGCTGTTCCCAGGCTGTGATGTCAGGCCCAGCGTCTGCTCAGCTCTCTGAGCTCTGTTATCAGCAGGGAAGTAGAGATACTAATTACTGCCTCCCAAAGTTGTTGTGAGGGTTCAAGGGCAGGGTTCACATGAAAACACTCTGTAAACTACAAGGAAACATAACACATGGGTTCTCTTCAATAGGGCCCTCTTGTCACAACGAGAGAGACAGATAGTTGTAGGATTAATGTGTATTTCAAGGCTGATTCACTAGTAACTGGTCCTGAGGACCCTAAACTTGTTTCAGCTTCTTGGAAATCAATGGCATGTGGTGATAGAAGGCAGAATTATCAGCAGTAGGTACTGACCTGGGCATGATAAGAAAAAAGATATGTCAAAAGTGACCCTTAGGGGGTGGATGAGATAAACCAAAGAACTTAGGTGCATGTGTGCATAACCAATGGACATAGACAACAATGCTGTGGGGGGAGGAGGGAGGGGGAGAAGGGTGTCTAGGGGGGAAAAAGGAGAAACATCTGTAACAAAAATTAATAAAAATTGGGGAAAAAAGAAAACAAGAGTTTAATACAAATAAATAAATATTTTTAAAAGTGCCCCTTAGCTCGGTGGTGTGGCTCAGTGGTTGAGCGTTGACCCATGCACCAAGAGGTTGCCAGTTCGATTCCCAGTCAGGGCACATGCCCAGGTTGTGGGCCAAATCCCCAGTGGGAGGCATGCAGGAAGCGGCCAGTCGATGTTCTCTCTCATCGCTGTTTCTCTCTCTCTCCCTCTCCCTTCCTCTCTGAAATCAATAAAAAAGAAAACAAGTGACGCTTAGCTTGTGAGGAGGCAGGGTATTCGGGAGCTTTGGAGAGGACCGCTCTAGGAGGGGGAAGACAGGACAACCTCTCCAAATGAAGTGCTATGTCCCAGCACCACCCTTCTCTGGGAGAGCAGCCGCACTAAGGGTAGAACTAACACAAGTTGACAAAAGATATTTCAGGACATTAGAGAAAAGAACTTTTGCTTTAAAAAATATAGTATCCCAAAATCTCAGCTTGGGAAGAGATCTTAGCCATGGTTTATTCCAACCACCCTTAAAAAGTACTTAAATTTTGACCTGGCCAGTTTGGTTCAGCGGTTAGAGCATCGGCCTGAGGACCAATGAGTTGTGGGTTCGAGTCCAGTCAAGGGCACGTACCTCAGTTGCAGTTCATCCCCAGTTCTGGTCAGGGTCATGCGGGAGGCAACCAGTTGATATGTGTCTCTCACACTCTCACATCAATGTTTCTCTCTCTCCCCCTCTCTCCCTCTCTCCCTCCCACTCTATCTTAACAGAAATGGAAAAAGACTTCCGGTCAAGATGGCAGGTAGGTAAACGTGGTATCGCTCCTCCCACAACCACATCAAAGTTACAACTAAGCTACAGAACAACCATCACTCAGAACACCTGAAATCAAGCTGAATGGAAGTCCTACAACTACGGAATTAAAGCAGCAGCCACATCCAGACTGGTAGGAGGGGCGGCGGCGGCGCGACAGGCTGGTCCTGCACCCAAGTGTGTCGGATAAAAATCGGGGACACCTCGGCTGGGAAGGTCCTCCCTGAGGACTGAGGGGTCCCCGTCCCACACCAGGTGCCCTGCTCAGGGTTCCAGTGCCAGGAAGAGAAGTCTCCATAACTTCTGGTTGGAAAAACCAGCGGGAACTGAGGCTCAGGGAGGCTGAGGCAGCTGGAGCCCCAGGCAGCTCCTTAAAGGGCCCGCGCACGGACTTACCGGACTTGCTCCCTCTAAGCTTGGAGGGGAGACAGCTCGAGGGGCGCCAGAGACATACAGGGAAGAACTGAGCTGTTTGGCATTGGAGCGAGGCCTGGAGAGGGGGCTTTCTCGGGGCCAAACATGCTGTCAGAGGCCTTTGTTCCTTTGGTGAGCCCTTCCCGGGGGCGGCAGCCAGTCTCCATATCTGGGACTCCAGCAGCCTGGCTCACACTGGTAGCCCCGCCCTACTGACTCCCTGAGGCCCCGCCCTCCCCCACCCAAGTTTCAGGCCCACCCAAGCTATTGCCAGTTGCTTAACCATAGGATTGGCCTGTCTTGGATCCTGCTTCAGGTTTTCCTAAATTCTTTCAAACGAGCAGCATCTGGTCTCAGCGAGCCCCATACCTCTCCTTAAGTAATACACAGAAACAAACACAGGGAGGCAGCCAAAATGAGGAGACAAAGAAACAGGTCGCAAATGAAAGAACAGAACAAAACCCCAAGAAAAGAACTAAGCGAAATGGAGATAAGCAACCTAACAGATGCTGAGTTCAAAATACTGCTTATAAGGATGCTCAGTGAACTTAGTGAGAACCTCAGTGAGAACCTCAGTGAACTTAGTGAGGGCCTCAAGAGCATAAAAAAGGACCAGTCAGAAATGATGGATGCACAGTTAGACTTGAAGGAGGCATTAACTGAAATAAAGAATAATTTACACAGATTCAATAGTAGAGTACGTAAATCCAAGAAGCAAACCATCGATTTGGAATATAAGGAAGCAAAAAACGCCCAATCAGAACAGCAAAAAGAAAAAAGAATCCAAAAAAATGAGGATAGTGTAAGGAGCCTCTGGGACAACTTCAAGCGTGCCAACATTCGCATCTTGGGGGTGCCCGAAGGAGAAGAGAGAGAACAAGAAATCGAAAACCTGTTTGAAACAATAATGGCAGAAAGCTTCCCTAACTTGGTGAAGGAAACAGACATACAAGTGCAGGAAGCACAGAAAGTCCCAAATAAGATGAACCCCAAGAGGCCCACACCAAGACACATCATCATCAAAATGCAAAAGGTTCAAGAAAAGAGAGAATCTTAAAAGCATCAAGAGAAAGGCAGCTAGTTACCTACAAGGGAGTTCCCATAAGGCTGTCAGCTGATTTCTCAAAAGAAACTTTGCAGGCAAGAAGGGAGTGGCAAGAAACATTCAGAGTGATGAAAAGCAAGAACCTACAACCAAAATTACTCTATCCTGCAAAGCTATCATTTAGAATCGATGGACATATAAAGACTTTCCCAGACAAGAAAAAGTTAAAGGAGTTCATCACCACAAAACTGTTATTATATGAAATGATGAAGGGTCTTTTTGAAGAAAAAGATAAAATATATGAACAAACAAAATGGCAGTGAATACATATCTATCAACAATGGAATCTACAAACAAAATGAACAGATAGATCAGAAACATTCTCATAGATACAGAGAACATTTTGTTGGTTGCCAGTTGGGAGGGGGGTTGGGGGAATGGGTGAAAACGGTGAAGAGATTAAGAAGTACAAATTCATTGCTAGACTGACAAACCTCAAAGGGAAAGGGGTTGGGGGGGTGGGGAAATAAACCAAAGAACTTATATGCATAACCAATGGACACAGACAATAGTGTGGGAAAAGGCGGGAGGGGGGCGGGAGTGGGGAGGAGGGGGTCAATGGAGGAAAAATGAGGGACATCTGTAATACATTCTACATTCAACAATAAAGATTTAAATAAATAAATATTCTAAAAAAATAAAAAAATATCCTCGGGTGAGAATTTTTTTTTTTTAAGTACTTAAATTTTCTTTCATCTGAGTAGCTGTCCCAGGAACAGGGAGTTCATTTGATTTGAAGAAGCCTCCTGCTTATCTCAACTCCAATAACTAGTAAGTTCTTTCCTACTTCCTGGATGAGAATCCTCTTGGGAGGGCAAGGAGCTTGAAGGGGGTGGCAGTACTGGATTTAGCTGAGGGTTTAAGGGGACAGATTTGAGCAAAGCTAAATAGCAGAGAGG